GACGTCAAGCAAACCAAACCTTAAGTAATTACAGAGCCTAAAACTCGCGACTGCAAAACACCCGACCGACGGAGCATTGTGGCCAGCATCTGCCTGGAAAAAACCATTGGCCCCTCCGGGAAGGGTGGCCACAAAAGACATGAAGCAAAACAGAACCTACGTAATTGCAGAACCTAAAACTTGCTACTGCAAAACACGCGACTGACAGAACCTTCTGGCCGGAAAATGCCTCGGAAAAGTAAATGACCTCTCCTTTATTCAATTCTTCATCGCCACATGACCCATCTTGCCCACGGGCAAACAACTGACATGTAAACGAACATTTCGTGTGCATCGACTTTCATACGGCACTTGGATTCACTACCAGCTAGTTCAATAATAATATTTGTGTTTCTTTATTTATCTCGTTGCATTGCTGTTGTCACAATGAAATTGCAACTGTTAGTATTTTTAGTTACTTGAGGGCAGGGGGAAATTGATGGCTCGTGGGATGGATTTTCGGAAACCTAGGTTGGGAAAATACACGGTCCCTTCAAGCTTGTGTTAATGCCAGTATCTGCCAGAGGTTTCGCACTGTTTAGGCAACAGGATATCAGTCACTGAGTTCAGGAAGGGCTTGAATTTTATTACAAATGACGTATTTCTGTTATCAAAATACTATACAATTGAAAGGATTTTCATACGGTCAGAAAAGTGCAAATGTAGTAATGTGGAAATACAAGGAGTATAATTACATCTCAAGTGCTTGAAAAAAACAACAATAAAAAGCTCACCATTCTTCGCTTGCGAAATGTCAAGCGAAAACAATGTGGAACAATCGGGTACGGCGTGGGAACATACTTTTAAGCAGAATTCACTGACCAGCTTCCCCTAATTTGACTACTGATATGTGTTCGTTGCGGCCGTCTTCGAAGCTGGTACGGAGTATCAGGCCGACGTCATTTAACAGTTAAATCTTCCAGATGTCGACGATCGAAACGCGTCCATTTTGGTCATACAGCTACAACCTTTGTAAATTAGTGTATAGAAACACCCGGCGAATCTGCATTATTCTCGAAGCTAATTAACAAATAGAGAAGCCTTGGCCGTGCTCTGTTCTGTTTTATATAATAAGCTCAGTTATGCACGCATTCTGATTGGTTCTCACTTATG